TCACAAACACAACAATATTATATCTAAAACGACAAATATGACCTAAATAAAATATTCTGATAAAAAATGAAAGTGGACTTAGTTCCCACGATCAGGTTATTTCTTTTCAAAGTAGATATGAGGACACAAACTGTACAAATATTGGACTGAGATAGTAGATAGATATGTTCCGTATATTTTTGTAAAATATTGGCTTGCATGATGATAATTGGAAGTATTCTAGTTTAAAAAAAGAGTAGTTCAAGTTTGCTTTATAGATTACTCATGGATTTTTTTTTCTAGTCCGAGTGAAAAGTAAGTTTAAGTTTGCTCTATGGACTACTCAAATTTAAAATTGAGTTAAATCTTTTGTTTGGAAAATGAAGATGAACCATGAAACTGCGCTGATGATGATGATGATGATGAAAACGGGTTTGCTAGTTTCTATCGCCATTCGAAGCGAGAGAACCTTATCATTACATTTTGGAATTACAAAGGATACTGATACTGCTTTCCAAACTAAGCTATAAGCTTGTATTTTGGAAAACAGTGATGAACAATGATACAACCACCAACAGCCAACCAATACTTTTTTAAAAAGAGTAACGAATGGAGTTTCTTGCTCGTTCTTCTCCATTCGAATCTACTTTTTGGAATGAGCACCTAAATTCACCTAGCTTCACTGACGGACTAACTGACAGACTATTATTTATTTTGTATTTGTTGACGTTTCAAAAGTACCAAATTATGGTTTAATTGAAATAAATGCTTTGACTATGACTTTGACTTTGAAATTATTCAGTAAGCGTTGCTTACAGTCATCATCATCTCTTCTCACATAGTGAAGGGTTAAGCATAAATCACCACACTTACTCAATCAATGCGAAGTTCTCGAATCTCAATGCGAGTTGGCGATTTAAAACTTAGAATTAGAAATTATAAGCCCAGGTTTCCTCACGATGTTTTCCTTCACCGTTTGTCAGTGGTGTCTAGATAATCTTAGACAGAACATTCGCGGAGAACCTAACGGTCGCGGAGAACCTAACGGGTAACCGGGGCTCCGGCTCGACGTGCAGGAGAAGGAACGGGGTGGTTTTTAGTCAGTAAGAGTCTGACACTCCCTTCCGCCTCACCCAGGCGGGAGCAGTCATTCGATGATTTTCCCCCCTTAAAAAAAAAGACAGTACATATAACTCGGAAAAAGTCACATTGGTACTTGTCATTGGTAGGTTTCGAAACCGCACTCTATGCATGAGAAGCAGGTGTCCTAAACCTCAGGTTCACCACGACAGCCACAGCTTACGTCACTTACAGCGTACCCAATATTTTATCAATTTGGTACCTATATCTTCCCAAAACTAAAGTTTACTTTTAATTCAACAAAATCAACGAGAAAGTACCAAAATAACTTTCTATTTTAATAAGATTACACACGTAGGTGATGAGTGCCATGTCAAACATGATTTGGAAGAAAACAATGGTATCGCCCACTCTCATTTTGGCCAACTTAACATATATTTGTGCCGTGGGTGGTCCATAGTCGGCGAATATTTATTGTGATTCTGTCTAAATGACTAACTATGCTGTATGGTTTGTTGACTCGACTGACTTTTACTTTCTGTTGATAGAGAATTATCATCTGTGGTTCGTACTATTATCTGTGGTTCGTTGGTAAAGTGATTATAGACTTTATGAACGTCGTTTATTTTGGTTCCTCAGTCAGAGGCCTTAATACGAGTTTGTTTTTTTTAACCCTTTGAGTACCATCATTATAGACACAATTAAAGAACAATAAGTTGCGGTCACCGGTGTCCTCGCGGTGTTTGACAGTTTAAGGGGGGAAAATCATCGAATGACTACTCCCGCCAGGGTGAGGCGGGATGGAGTGTCAGACTCTTACTGACTAAAAACCACCCCGTTCCTTCTCCTGCACGTCGAGCCGGAGCCCCGGTTACCCGTTAGGTTCTCCGCGACATGAATTTGTTTTACGTTTAAAGTAATCGTAACGAGTACGCCTTCGGCGCTGTGATTGGTTGGTTCATTGGTGCCGGCCAATCAGAATGCCGAATGCGTACTCGTTTCGAATACTTTCAAGTAAATCAATTTCGTACTAAGGCCTCAGATTTGTGTGGATCATTCGGTGACGGATTATGAAGTTCGTTTGTTCTTGTCTTGGGTCAGTATAGTCTGGAATGGGACGTGCTAAGAATTATACTTTTTGGGGTGTTGAATTGAGTGCAGTTTTTGACAATTAGTTTTTAGGGCTCCAATGATGAACCTATTACCAATCACTATGCGCTATTTGAAACTCTATGCTGTTAGTGATAATTGCGAAAATCCTTAAATAACTTTATCTGACTCGGGAATTATACTTCAAGACCTTATTAGCTTTTTTTGAGGGGGGAAAATCATCCAATGACTTCTTCCACATTGTCCTTCGGAGAGGGAGTGTCAGACTCTTACTGACTAAAAACCACCCTGTTCCTACTCCTGCCCTTCGAGCCGGAGCCCCGGCAACCCGTTAAGTCCTCCGCGGTTCCACATCGGCACCAGCCCTGTTATTAGCCTGACATCACGACTTGACCGAAGAAATCTTTCCATTCTTTAATTTATGAGTGTTTTGTAAACAAACCAATACTGTTATCAGAACTTAAAGAGTTACATCAGTATGCGTAGGTTTCATAGTAGAAGCAAAACACGGTATTTCTATTCAAATGAAAGTCGATTTTTCGATATTAGTTTTTACAATATCGAGTTTCTTGATTTAATGATAATTTTTGAAGTTATATCTTTGAAAGTTGTCATAAATGTTAGATTTATAATGATTAGAATTTGTTGTTTGTTTTGAATGATTGTATGAGTGAAACGTGTTTGCTTTTGGAAGTCGTTTTGATGTCTGGTTTTAAAGACGAATCTGCAAAATTGCCTTGTTGGTCTATTTATCTATTATCAAAGAGTCAGACCACCACGCCCAATACAGCTGGTGCCGATACACAGCCGCGGAGGACTTAACGGGTTGCCGGAGTTCCGGCTCGAAGTGCAGGAGTAGGAACGGGGTGGTTTTTAGTCAGTAAGAGTCTGACACTCCCTCCCGCCTTACCCAGGCGGGAGAAGACATTTGATAATTTAACCCTTAAAAAAGTCCCCTGACCGTTGTAATCTCTTTTATAGACATAAGCGTCATATAACACGTCCTTATTAACTTTCGAATTATGTTTACATTTGAACCTTTTCTGGCTATTTATCCGGCTGTAAAAATAAGTGTTGGGTTGTTATTTCATACAGTTTATAAACAATATTCTATAAACAGAATTACAGACAGGCCTTAATACCAAATTGCGTTCTGTGTCTAGGCATGCTAAACTAGACCATGTTTTTGCTTAAGATTATAATCTATCAATTATGCTGTACAAAAATCAATTTCTTGCCACAGATAATTCAGAACACGCCCCGCACGGCGCTAAAATGTCGTAACTGTCTAAAATCAATATTATGGACTTGATGTTAATTTTATAAAACTGCACGTAGGCCTTTAGCCAAACGCCACTTTAGCGCTTGTCTACAGAGAGACTACAAATGTAAATGTATGAGGATGACACTGACAAGTGTCAAAATTTACGTCAATTCCATATAGTTTGGTTTTCTATTCTACATGTAGACAAGCGCTAAATGGCATTTGGCTACAGCTGCATGTCTCGATATTATCGACAATTTTTTTATTAAAAATTAAGACCCTTCTGTTAATAAATAAGTATCTTGTTCTTTTTTTAAGAACTTTTCGATGGCAATGGGGCACACAAGCAAATGTTGAAGAATTTGGATTGTCTTAGAGGAAATATTAATAAAATATTGTTACAGTTAATAAAAAAAAGAATATAAACAAAAAGAAAGTCACAAATGAATTGAAACCTTGAAAGACTTATCTAAATGTAAATATGTACATGCGAATTGAGACTATAGACCACCTATCCTATTATGACTCTTTCAAACTACTTTAGCTGCCATCACGCATCTACATAGTCATACAAAGACGGTTAAGACTAACTTTTCACATCAAGTATGGTGATTTACGTATTTAAGTAATTGTAGGCAATTTCTGCGAACGTTACGAACACGCTATAGCTTAGAAACATACTCGCTGTTGCCTGCGACTTCGGCCGCGTAGAATATGATTCCTGTTCTATCCCATGGGAGTATTTAATCGGGATAAAAAGGCCTAAAAGATCCTATTACCTAAGTCGGCCCATACCCTATCTGTACGTATACGAAATTTCATCAAAAACCGTTCAGTAGTTTCAGCTTTATTGACAGACAAACATCTAAACAAGAAAACTTTCATATTTATAATGTTATTATGATAGAATGTCGATGTATGTATGTACACTGTACAGTGTACAAAAAAATAGCTTAAACTTGAATACTGATTTAATGTAAGTTATTCCATAATAATTTAACCAACAGAAGTATCATTAAAGGTTGGAGCGTACAGAAATGTTTTTATTTATTTTTCCTAAAAGGAAAGTCTAGATAGTCAAGTTCTCATTAAGAATCATATTGTCTTTGACACAAAAGTGACGATTGCGCAGCATCTATTGGATCTAAACCAGTTACAATTATGTGTCTATAACGCGTAAATAGAATACCTATTGATTTGTTATACAATGGTAGACTGGTTAATACAAAACAATAGTGGCATTACATCACGAAAAATATATCACTTTGCCCTAAATAATTAGCACGACACGAATGTCAAAACGTCCATAATTCGTTTGCGAGAATGTTTCGTTATAGTTAGCGCCACCCCGCGCATGATCACGACTTGTTTTGATCATGCGCCGCTGATATACCTTACGATAGATTTTATCGCGCCGATCTGCACCGTAAAACCCATAACTCAAGTAAATGCTCTCATTGTGCAGTGACATTCGATATGATCCGATCTAAAGAACTCTGACCTCTTAAAATGCCAAGCGTGGCGAGAGTGTGCACTCCTGAGGCTGTTACAAGGGAATAAGTGAAGAATGTTCCACGTGCAAGGATCCTTCGAGCAATCACTTCGCTGCGGCGACGAAGTGTCACCTAGCGGTAACAAAACATTGGCCGCTTTGGCAAAAATCCACAAACATTGTACAGGCAAAGCACATGCTAATGGATGCGCTGACCATAAACTTAATCCGCTAGCTAAATCAGATTCAAACACCAGTTTGCAATCACGCAAATCCTTCCGTAACGAATGCATAATAGAAATCAAAGAATCTGATAAGAATAATCAGAACTCTATCAAAAGTAATGACGGATTGTATAGCAAAAGCTTTAGCAACAGCACCAGCTCATATGAAGGTCACAGTGACACTGATTCAGAAAACACATTCAAATCACGTTCAGATCAAAGCAAAACAACTGACCCGTGTGAACGTCTGTTCGCACAGAATACTAAAGCATCCCTGATGAAAACTGCTCGCATGAGATATGCTGATGACAGCATTATATCAGCTCTCCAAGACGAAGTAGATGGAGAAAAGGTTAAACAACCTTTTTGTAGAACTCCGCTTCGAGGAAGCTACAGAGAAAGAAAGTCAGCTGTAGTTACTATTGAAGAAGTAAAATCAGATGGTTCTAATCAAGACGAGGAGCTAGCTAACGCTGTGCTTTTTGATGAAAAGAGAAAAACTCCGACTCAAACAAAACCTGGTTTACAAAGGAAGAGTTCTTCAGGAAGCACCGTTAGTAATGGGAAGCCTGTTAATGGGACAAAACCTCCATGGAGGGGAGCTAGTAAGAAGGGAATACCAGCTGAACCATTCGTGAGAACTCCCTCATTTAGAGGAAGTATCAGAAAGAAAACGACGAAGAATGATGGGATACCGTGGAAGAAGTTGTATGAGCTCTCCCTTTGGCGCCGATATGGCGTGAGCTTTGCTTCTGTTGGAGCTGATGCTGAGCGGGCCTTGCTTAGGCCTTGGAATGAGCTGTCTTCCCAACCGGAGCCACAATTTCTTTTGGTGAGTTATAGATTGTAGTTTCTTATTATATTTTTTTGTACCTTGTCATTGATGAAGAGTCACTAAACTTCTGGATATCGAAAGAAACAAATAACATAAAATTGTGTTAATATGTCATACTGTTTCATACTACAAATATCAATATAACATACCCGTCATCAAATCTCGGTGGAATAATGACGTAAACTTAGATCTAACTTAAGTAGCTCTCGTAAGTCAAACGTCAATCATCACGCCTGGGGCGTCCGCTGCTCTTTGATAGCTTGTTTGGATTTGACAGCTCGATTGCTGACTCCCAGCCGATAATTCCTCGGAACGAGCGAGTTCAAATGATGTTGTTAGTATGGTAATAAGGATTGAATGTTTTGTAGATGTAGATAAAAATATATACATTACTTATTACGGGATTGTTTCTGGCGAAGGAAACACATCGTGTTTGCTCCAATGGTTTTAAGAAATTGTCTTTGTTTAAGGCCGGACTAGTCGCGGTTAAAATTGTGTAAAACAGATTTCTTTGGTACCAATAAGTAATGTTAGAAAATAAGCTTTATTCTCATGCAACTTTAGAAATCAATTTACCATGCGACGCAAAAGGCACATCCAGTCTGAATCCTGGACATAATACAAATTACATAACATCACGCCTTTTTATCTTCAAAAGGGCGAGTGAGAGAGTGAGAGCTTTTTGTCTTCAAAAGTGTAGCTGAGGTGCACATTACGGCACTTAATGCGGCCTGTACAATGTAACACCCACTTTTCACTATTTGTGTTATTAGTCCCATGTAATTGCCATATCCCGGGCACAATTCCAGACTCCATGCTCCATCCAGTAATACTTTGCCTGACGCGGGAATCGAACCCGAGACCTTGCCAGGCAGCCGCACTTGCGACCACTCGGTCAGAGAGGCAGTCATAATACCAATTAAATACAGGTAAACCCACTTCCTACAGTTTATAAGCAAATACAAGTGATCCTAAGTCTTAAGGGTTTCTCGGATTACTTTTCCGATCTTATTTAAAGAGTTGAAGTTAATCTTATCTAGTTCAAACTAAACTGTTTGCTTTGAGATGACACAGTTAAGCACAAATGGTCTTCCATAATATTTGCCAGAAATAGAAGATAAATGTTTTCTTTTGAACGTCGTTGATAAGGGAGATAGCATCGATGGTTTTATCCAAAATGATTTGTTGTTTGTTCTGTAACATTTCGTTATACCGGTGTTTTAACACCAACTATGATTCGATTAACAGAATCTCGGATTTTAGTTCCGTATTTATGATGAGGACGTATGACTTTCACAATAAAAGAATCAGTATTGAGTATACATAAAAATCAAAAGTACTTGTAATAGATTTTTTTCTTAATAACAACGTATGAGTAAAATTTTTCACCAGCGACTATAACTACTCATAAGAGATAATACCTATATGTTAATTGCTATTTTGAAAATTGCTATATATGTTTATTGTTGTTTGATTGGTGACTTGTTCGTCCGCGAGTCATTTAAGGGGCCAGTAGAATACTAGCGCGAGACCCTGTCTTCCACATGCTGAGCTGGTCCCATTTCACCGTAGACTTGGGACATTAGTAGATATTTTTAAACTCTGTATATGTCACCTGTTTTTAGCGTTTGAAATAAAGTTTTTCTTTCTTTCTTTCTTTTACCTATTGAAATAATACACGCCCTCTTTGATGCCGATATCAAAACAATCTAGATTAATTCCTCACCATATTAAGAATAAAATCATCGCGTAAAACTTTCTCCACACCACTCAATCCTGGAAATAGTATACAAGTCTAAAATAAGATCGAAATCAAAAGTCTTGATTACATTTGACCATATTTTCAGAGATCAGGATCAAATTATTGCCATATAGCGCGCACTTTCGATTGGATCATGGCAAAGGGTCACGGATCGGACACGAATCGGACTGATATGACCGTACCGTGACGGACCGGACGCCTCAAGCGAAAACCGCTCTGTGATTTACCAGCATATGGATTGATTGGATTGATTTTCCACTGAGGATAGTGTGCAGGCCATAATTTTATATTTTCTGGTTGGAGAAATTTTTGATGTAGGGCTTTGGCGCTAGTGTCGATTTAAAGTATATTAGTTCACAGTTTCTTATAATTACATAACATAACATCACGCATTTTATCCCCGGAGGGGTAGCCTGAAGGTCATTACAGCACTTAATGCCACTGTACATTTGATTCTGTCCTCATTCGGAGCCGCGGAGAACTTAACGGGTTACCGGGGCTCCGGCTCGAAGTGCAGGAGTAGGAACGGGGTGGTTTTTAGTCAGTAAAAGTCTGACACTCCCTCCCGCCTCACCCAGGCGGGAGAAGTCATTCGATGATTTGGCCCTCTCAAAATAAAAAATTCTCAAGATGACCTTGGCCGAAGTTTCCACAAAGTCTAGCAGGATACGTGTAAACAAAACAACAAGGATTTAATGCAAATGTTCAATGTCGGTGATTTGCAACGTTTGCTTACGTAACGAGTCTGCACGTGAATACTTATTAGTTGCTGATCTGTATACATGTATCGTGTCGTCTAGAGCAAGTGTGGGTACTAAGTTACGATATTATAGTGCAATTGCGATATGTAGTACAGTTTGTTATTTGGTTTTTAAAATGGTGCAGTTGACTGGGTTCGTATGCAAACGTCTTGCTTCATTTCTGAAGGTCGTGGCCCTGAAAGGCTTTCATTGCTCTCTGTGTTATTTCCCTCCATCTTGTCCTGTTTTCGGCTTCTCTCAGTGCTTTCGTAACAGTGAGTCCAGTGTAGTTGGTAACTTGGTCACACCATCGGCTAGGTGTAGCTAGACGTATGCAAACGTAAGGAAGTGGAATTCGTTGCCAGAGTCTGTATTTCCTGAAGGGTATATATAACCTGGGTATCTTCAAGGCCCGAGTGAATAGGTTGCTTATGGGACGATGTGATCCATCGTAGGCTGCATCATCGCTTACCACCAGCCGAGGTAGTGGTCAAACGTCGGCCCAACAAATATTATAATAAAATCATAATTATTATGGTTTTTCTGTATAAGGTAGTTAACTACTATAATATAGTAATGTTCTTCGTAGTTCCTTACATATTTTTTAATATATTTACAAGACAACCAGTTAACACTACACAGTCATTCGAAAACTTTTGCACTCTTTTGCCTTCTGAAGCAATTAGTTTAATCTTAAAATTAAACAAGAAGTATCGTCAGAGAAATCTGAGCTTTAAACTATTCCTTATATAAGGTAGATTTTTAGGACAACCTAACCAAAAAGTATCAATTCAATGAACGATGGAAGTTTGGAATTTGATCTAGCGTATCCTCTTTCACAGATGGACCAACTAATTGAGCTATTCCGTTCAATATAACGATTAGGCATACCACTAAGAGATCATTGAAATAAATCGTTTGTTTTATCTTTTATCGGATCAACATAATCTCATCTTGCTTATGAACATCCTGATTTAATTTTTTATCTTGTAATGAATGTACCATCCACTTTAAAATTACAAATATTTACATACAAATGTCCTTATTTTGGGCTCGCTGCCATTGCAGCGGTAAGTCCCCTCTTTGAGGAGTGGCTTGAGAGACGCTACGGCGTCCTCACCTACCGCCTGACGCAGGTCCTCACCGGACATGGAAGTTTCGGGAGGTACCTGTGTCTGATGGGGCGGGAGGAAACGCCCGGGTGTCATCACTGCGAGGACCACCCTGAGGACACGGTGGAACACACTGTTGCGGAATGCCCTGCGTGGGCTGAGCACCGCCGTGCCCTCAGGGAAGTGATCGGCGATGGAGACCTCTCGCGTCCGGGCCTAGTTCAGGCCATGATGCGGAGCGAGGGGGACTGGGATGCCGTCTCCTCCTTTTGCGAAGCAGTCATGCTGGCTAAGGAGGAGGCGGGACGCGCGAGGCAGCGAAGCGCTGCCTCCTCGCAACCCAGCCATCGCGAAGGACACACCGGGCGTCGGGGATCGCGGGACGATCTCCGGCCACCGTAAGCGCGGGCCTGCGGACGGCGAGCATGGGTGGCTCCCCGTCCGACCAGAAACAGACCCGAGCGTACGGCGCGTCGCGTTCCGCGCGCGCCTCAAAGAGCCATCAGACCACCACAGATGGGGCCCAATAGGGCCGATGCCGATTCGGAGTCGCGGAGAACCTAACGGGTAACCGGGGCTCCGGCTCGACGTGCAGGAGAAGGAACGGGGTGGTTTTTAGTCAGTAAGAGTCTGACACTCCCTTCCGCCTCACCCAGGCGGGAGCAGTCATTCGATGATTTTCCCCCCTTAAAAAAAAAAAAAAAAAAAAAAAAAAAAAAAAAAAAAAAAAAAAAAAAAAAAAAAAAAAGTCCTTATTTATTTTTAGGCTGTGGTTTCTTTTGCCGAAGACATATTTGTGAACAAAGTGTATCAGTAGTTGCGGTCTATATGTATTCCATATTTTATCACAATCTCGTAGTGAACGAGATTTTGCGTGTATAACATTAAATGTCATCGATGATTCTTCTCGATAGCTTGCTTCATTTCTGAAGGTCGTGCCCCTGAAAGGCTTTCATTGCTTTCTGTGTTATTTCCCTCCATCTTGTCCTGTTTTCGGCTTCTCTCAGGGCTTTCGTAACAGAGAGTCCAGTGTAGTTGGCAACTTGGTCACACCATCGGCTAGGTGATCGGCCCCGTGGTCTTTTTCCTTCCACCTTACCAACAACAACCAATTTATCGAGGTTACCTGACTGGCGGCGGGGCAATGTGACCGAAATATCCAGCATTCGCTGGTAACATACGGTCGACAGTCTAGTCTTTTTATTGAGCTGTTCCAGGATTGACCTATTTGTTCGTCTGGCAGTCCGGTAACACCACATTTCGAGAGCATCTATCTTTTTGCGATCTAAGGCTCTAATAGTCCACGACTCTGCACCATAGAGGAAGATAAGTCATCGATGTAGATATAGCTATTTAGGAGATTGGTACCATGGATAGAAGAAGCCTAACAAACAGAGGCCTTAGTACTAGTTTGTTTTACGTTTAAAGTATTCGAAACGAATACGCGTTCGGCGCTGTGATTGGTTGCTTACTTGGCGTCGGCCAATCAGAGCGCCGAACGCGAACCCGTTTCGAATACTTTAAACATAAACAAACTGCCTCATTGCCCGAGTTTTCGCAAGTGCGACTGCCGGGCAAGGGGTCTCGGGTTCGATTCCCGGGTCGGGCAAAGTATTACTGGGTTTTAAAAAAAAATCAGTGGTAACACGGAGTCTGAAATTGTGCCCAGTATATGACAATAGGCTCACCCCTATTACATGGAACTCGTAACATGAATAGTGAAAAGTGGGTGTTACATTGTACAGAGGCCATAAAGTGTCGTAATGCCCCTGCCTACCCCTTCGGGAATAAAAGGCGTGATGTTATGTACCTATAATAAATATCATTTCATTTCAAAGATTACTATTCAATTCGTACCAGTAGTATCCGAGATTAGCGCAAACAAACAAACAATGAAGTTAACATTCATTAGTAGCCATGGTAAAGCAAATGCAGATTTATTAGGTATCATAGTACGATAAACAAATGACTGTCATCCACGCCTTGAAGTATCGTTTTTGTATTCACTATTTCAAGGTCACACTGGTCGTTATTAACGGTAATATAATGTGTGTTATTGTTATTGAAGCCGTGTTTAATTGTTTATGTAATGTTTATTGTATATTTTAAGGTCTTTGCTTAGTTATGGGTTCCATATTAACTGTTGTTAAGGTTAAGTTTGATTGTAGTGTTGTATATTATTCAACTAGCTTTTACCCGCGACTTCGCTCGCGTCACAAATGGATAAAAAGTAGCCGATGTGACATATAACAATACACACAGCGCCATCTATAGCAATACTTTTGTTTTCCCTCGGGAATATCAATTTTTCCGGAATAAAAAGTACCCTATTATTTAATCCAGACTTCTAACTTTACGTCTGCAAAAATTCAAAGCAATCGGTTTAGTAGTTACGGCGTGAAAGCGGAACAAACAAACAAACTCACTTTTCAATTAATAATATTAGTAAAGATAGAGGCTTTAAAAGAGTCAGACAGAGAGAGAGAAGCCTGTGTTCAGCAGAGCACGGCTTGTGTTGGATAGGATGATGATAATGATAAATGAGATTATGTTTGTGACCTGATGATAATTTTAACTTGTTTAGACAAAAAATACTTCAAAACAGGTTAAAATTAATAGTCAAATTTTCGAATGAACTGGACATCTATGACAAGGATTGGCCGCAAAAAGCTTTACATGGAGAGGAGTGGAAGGATCGAAGCTGAAAATAAAGAAATAAATTGTAAAAGAGCAATGAATTAAAAAGATCACATTAAATTGACAACCAAGTAAATATTGATGAAGAAACTTATTCGAAATTAAAATAATTTGTTTAATGGTATTCCCCAATTCTCTTTTTAAATATATTTTATTTCTCATAAAAAAAAATAATAGCATCATAAATGACTGTTCGACAAAATATGATCCTTGATTTTGTGTTTCTTTTTTAATAATGTTTTAATTTAAAACCAGTCGCGTTCTATTATTGGCAAATATATTCCATAGACCGTGAGAAATTTTAAATAAAACTTTTTTTTTTAATAGAAGCCTTTTAAAACGCATTCACTCTCACATTCTACTTTTGTATGCCTTTATTTACCTACTGGCTAATTCCGCGCGGTTTCACACGCTCTGCTCAGCTTCTATTGGTCGTAGCGTGATGTTTTATAGCTAATAGCCATCCTCGATAAATGCGCTATCCAACACAAAAAGAATTATTCAAATCAGACTTCTAGTTACGGAGATCAGCGCGTTTAAACAAACAAACAAAAATACAAACTCTTCCGCTTTATGTAATAGTTTAAGATTTATACTAAACTTGTGCCACTTATTGGAATTCTAACAAGAAGATTGTTCTTTTCGACTACTGCCTCGTTGGCCGAGTAGTCGCAAGCTCTCGAGCAAGGGGTCTCGAGTTAAATTCCGAGGTCGGGAAAAGATTTACTGGGTTTTTTTTTAAATCTCAGTAGCACGGACCATCTCACTCTCCAACCAGTTTGCAATACACAATAGATTACAAAATAGGACTCCCAAGCTCACAATCATAACTCGATAAATGGTATCAGCTATTCAATTTGTCTGTACCATTGTATTGTTTATATATTTAGTTACTACTTGCAAGGGTCGATACATCATTGTCGTTAGAAAGTGGATCGAGAACGATTGTTTGTATTTTATCTCGATTTATTATAATCGAATTAAGCATTTTATTTTAAATGTTTGCCTGTCTTTGTGATGTAGGTAGTATGGCTACCTATAGGGTTTCAGGTTTCATTCTTGAATTTGACGCATTACTTTTCGATTCTTTTGTACCCAATATTCTACCTTTCCCTACGTGGGACATGCTAATTGACTTTTTTAAGCTGGGATACCATCCAATTGAGTGTGGGAGAGCCATGCTTCGTCACGAATGGGCCGGCTCGACCAGAGTGATACCATGGCCTCACAGAAAACCGACGTGTAGCAACGCTTGCGTTGTGTTTCGTCGTGTGAGTGAGGTTACCGGAGGCCCAATTACCCTCCCCTTCCCCAATCTCCCCAATTCCTGAATCCCCAACGATCCTCAAACTCCTAATTCCCCAAATGGCCGGTAACGCACTTGTAACGCCTCTGGTGTTCCAGATGTCCATGGGCGACACGCCGATTGCTTACCATCAGGTGAACCGTCTGCTCGTTTACCGGCTTATGTCATAAAAAAAATTCTTCTCCCACATTGGGTTAGGTAAAGACGAAGTAT